TTCAGTGTTGAACAGGTAGCTAGGGAAGGTGAAAAACCACTGACAACAACAACAAAAAAAAGAAGTGATGGGTAGGCAAGAGGCAAGCAGACACCAGGCAGCCCAGATACAGGGAGACATTAGGCAAACTGGGTGGGGCAAGGAGGACCCCAAAAAGAGTGGGGTGCTGAGGGACACAATGTGGACAGGGAAAGGAGAGGATCCTGCACATAAGAACCATGTGACCTATAGGAAGTCAAAGCATCCTGCTTGAGGCTTCACCCAGATTGGGATGCAGGTATGGACATGAGGAGGGGGTGAAGTGCATAGCAGCAAGGAACCAGGTAAGTCAACCAGCAGACCCTGGGTCTCTGACACTAAGAGATAGTTTCCTTTCCTCTTAGCTACCTCTACCCAAATATTTTGCCCCCTGAGCCTTCCAGCATGGGATGAATCTTATATGCCCCTTTCCTCCTGCAGATGGTGGAAGAGCACTCCCTGGCTTTGAAGAAGAAAGGATGTAAGAGGGCAACTCTGAATCCTGGTGCCCCTCAGATACTTTCCAACACTTCTGTACCAACTGTCTTCCAACTTGCAAAGAGAGAAGGCCATGGTCCCCAAAGAGGGACCAGTGCACAGAAACGTTCCTCACTGGTGCCTTCTTTAGATCATCAGTTTCCTGGAGCTACCAATGCAGAAATATGGGGGCCTAGTCCTACTGTCTTCCAAAGTAGTCAGTGTTTACCCTCACTGGGAGACCTCAGTTCCACTGTTATTACCTATGGCAGAGGAGCCCATCCCCAAAGCCCAGGGTCCAGATGTGCAATGAGCCTCAGAGGAGTTTCTGCTATGGAGGAGTTCCAGGAGGCACTGGGCAGAACCATTGAGGACAAAGAGGAGATCCCCAGCTTGTCCTTCCTCCTGTGTTCCCACTATAGTCTGGTGCCATGGAAACTGTCTGGCTATTTGTGCCCCTATACAGGTCTCTCTGACTCTGCTAGTATTCCCAAACCCTTATCTCCAAAGAGGAGCGACCTCAGTCCTGATCCATCTTCAACTGACAAGTCAGAGGAGCCAGCTCTCATTGGAGGCTTGAATCCTATGGCTAAGAGGTCCAACTCAGGGATTGGTCATGGGATATTTGAAGGGCCACTCTCAGCCCTGGGGCTCACTCACTCTTTGCAGGCACAGAAAAAGGTTGAATCACTAAGAACCCGGAAGAGGAAGAGGAAGAAGTGGCACTGTGCCACCTGTGGGATATCCCCTCAAAGCTGGCAGAGTTTCACTCTGCCTCCACCCTGCACCCCCATACCAAAAATGAAAAAGAAAACACACTGAGCTCCTGCTCATGCAGGGCTGATCCAGCTGGTTCTAAGCAGTAGAAGGCTAGAGGCTCTAGGAAATAAAGCCAGGGATGAGGGGTGGGGAAAAGAGTTGGAGGGTATTATCACTTTAGATGTTTGGAAGATACACTGAATAAATGTGCTTTTGTTGAAAATGTTGTTAGGGCCATGTCTTAAGGTTTCTATTGATGTGAATAGATACCATGACCACAGCAACTCTTGTAAAGGAAAACAATTATTTGGCTTGCCTATAGTTCAGAGGTTCATACCATTATCATCATGGCAGAATGCAGGCAGACATGGTGTTGGAGGAGGAACTGAGAGTTTGACATCTTGATCTACAGGGAACGGGAAAAAAATGTTGAACTGAGCGTGTCATGAGTATATGTGAGACCTCAAAGCCCACTTCCACGGCGACACTCTTCCTCCAACAAGGGCATATGTGCTGAGTGTGCCCCTCCCTTTGGGCTACATTTTCTTTCAATCCACCACAGGCTGCTACTTACATTCTGATGTCTGTACTGCTACTTGGAGTGAAGAGATAGTGAAGTAAAACCTGGAGATGCTGCACACTAGGGTGCATAGGTGCAGACCCAGGTCTTTCTCTATATTTACCCTCTGACCCTGGGAGAATGCAGCAGAGTGACAGCCCCCAGAATCACAGGCCTTGCCCTCTCACAAAGGCTCACTGCTTACAGGGTCTACTTGTAACACATTATTATTATCTTTGTCCTCAAAAACCTTCACAGCCTGCAGCCCTGTGGATCATTACCCAGCTTCTAGAATTAGCCTAGCTATAACTAATAGCTAGGCTAGCAATAACTCAGGGAGAATTTTCTGCTCCCATATAGACATTGGTGGCAAGACTAATCCAGTCCTCAGCAAGCCAGGGACATCTTGAGTGTGTGGGTGGTTCTAGGAAAAGTCCTGGCATATAAAGAGATGGGGCAGTAGCCGGCTGGGGAATGTTCAGCCAGCTCTCATCTTACCCCCCCCCAAACACCATGCTCTCTGACAGTGACAGGAAGAGTCTGTTACTTGACTCCTTTTTGTGGATTCTCTTATTTTTTCTTTATTGAGGATTGAGCATAAGTCTCTCTATGTGCTAGGCAAGCATTCCTCTGCCAAACTCTATCCCCAGATTTTTTTTACTTTCTGAGACAGAGTCTTCCTGAGTTATGCTAGTTGGCCTTGAATTCTGAGTCCGAGTGCTGCCTTGTCACCAAACAACAGTGAAATCTCCCCCATGAGGACAGATATAAAATTCCTAGTAAGTGTAAGAAGAGGAATGGGACATAATGTGTTGCTCTTTTTTTGTGGTTCATTGTTGTGACACAGCATGTCAGTTCTTCATGATGTGCTGAAGGAGAACCCCAGAAGAAGAAAACACATGAGGCAAGTGTCTTACCTTTCTACTCCTGTGATAAACACCATGATCACAACCATCATGGAGAGGAAAGGGTTTATCTTGTAGCTTATATTTTCCATCATGCCGGGAAATCAGGGCAGGAACTCAAGACAGGAACCTGAAGGCTAGAGGTAAAGCATGAGCTAGACAAGAATGCTGTTTACTGGCTTGTCCCTTATTGTTTCCTCTGCCTTCCTTTCCTACAACCCACTTTTCAGAGATGGCATAGCCGACAGTGGTCCGGGCCCTCTCACATCAAGAAAATGTCCCCAGAATCGCCTACGGGACAGTTTGATGAAGGAATCTTCTCAGCTGAGGATCCTCTTTCCAGAACATGGCTTGCATCAATTAGTCAAAACATTACCCAGCATAAGAATGTGAGGGAACATTCCCTTACTTTTTATTCTACTGTTTTGGCTGAGGGGTGATGCTAGTTTTCTTGGATCCCCAAGTGCTGTCTCAGAATTCACTCTACACTGGACATCAACAAACTTCCTACTTCAGTCTCTCTAGGTGCATCCAGAAAATGGGCTTCTGATATCTGAGGTAATGGATTTCAGACAGTCTCTACTGGTTACTCTAAAATTGCAAAGCAGAGCGACACATTACCTGTCACTCCTGTGGTGTTCAGAGAACTGACAATATTAGTAATCATTCACAGTCTGCTGCAAATTTCAATGTGTAATCTATAGTATGGATAGTCACAAATGGGAAGAACATTCCAAGACTGTTTATAATTTGCAAAGATGAGGAGGGAATTAAAGTGCATGCTTCTAAATAGTACATGAGTTAAAACATAAACTCAGGCTTGGCATTTGTGGCACATGCCTTTAATCCCATCACTCGGGAGGCAGAGGCAGGTGGATCTCTGTGAGTTAGAGGCCATACTGGTCTCCAGAGTGAGTGTCAGGATAGGCTCCAAAGCTACACAGAGAAACCCTGTCTCAAAAAAACCAAAAAAATGAGAGATAAACTCAGGAAAATTAAAATTAGAACTGAATGAATGTAAAAGTCAGATAAATCATTGGTCAGTGGGAAGAAAGTGGTAGTTAATGTCTGCCTTAGAAAGAAAAATAAACTAAAGTGTTCATGTCATGAAATAAGAAAAATGCAACAAAATAAACCAGAAAACAGAGAACAAACTATATAGGAGTATAAGCAATAAATTTAAATTTAAAAATTAAATGGATGGAATAAAAAGTTGGTTTTGGTTGGAATAAAAAGTTGGTTTGAGATGATCAGTAAAATGGATAATCTGTTCATAACAATTGAATGGTGATGGAGGATGTCATTTAAAAATGCTGCCAGTCATGCAAAGAAGGTATAACTACAGATCCCATATTCATTAAGAACATATTAGAAAATCTGCACATTCATGTTAATAACTTCCAGCAGGGTTGAGGCCAGGGAACTGGATTCCCAGAAGCCAAATGAAAATACCAGACAGGGTGGTGCACACTTGAAACTCCACATCTAAAGCAGCAGAGACAGGTGGGACCCTTTACTTGATGATTAGCTCTGGTTCTGACCTGGCATAGGGTAACCAGTGTTTTTTCACACACACTCTACTGTCATTCTCTGCTTCCACACTGGCCCAATAGTGGATGCCACATGGGTGGAAACTTCCCACTATACCCCATGATAAAAAGAATGCTAACCCAATAAAAGCCCAGAACCATGTCTGAAATAACTTGTGCTTTCTATACAGTATCGTGAGTTGTGGCATTCCGTCAAAACTGGCATTTGTTGTAGCACAGTTCAAACACTTCCAATGCCTCATAGGAATTGAATCTTCAAAGAAGGAGGAGGAAGAGGATGTTGTAATTTCTTTTAAAAAAGCAGAGATTCAGAGAGAGTGAGAGAGAGACAGAGAGACAGAGAGACAGAGAGACAGAGAGACAGAGAGACAGAGAGAGAGAAATGCCATGTGACTGAGTTCAAGAGGATGTGTTTTTTTATTAGGGGAAAGGGATCATAAAAGGGGGAGGGGGAAGGAAACTAGCCTCAGAAGACAGGAGCAACAGCAGAAAGGAAAGAGAGATAGATAGATAGAGAGAGAGAGAGGGAGGAGGGGGAGAAATTGAAGGTGGGCAAGGCCCTTTTAAATGGGAACCAAGTGAATATGCACTGGTGGTGAGCTCAGTGGCTGCAGCTAAGCATGTATCCTGACAAAACTCCAAAGGCAGCCCAGTACAAATACCTAAATGCTAACAGAGGAGGAGGGGGGAGGAGTCAAAGGAGAATCAAGGGTATTGATCTCAGGAAATGAAAATTTCCACTCGGTAATACTTTAATAAATGTCCATAAAATTTTGCCACTAGATGCAGGGGACGTGGTCGTGACATTTTAAAACACATAGAACATTAATTTTCACAAGTTGGCTAGAATCTGTGAACTGGGAAGCAGAACAAACAGTCCTGTCAGTTTATTAATGGACAGGCTCAAAATGCCAACTGTTAACTCATTGCAGAGATTTAAAACACATAGAACATTAATCTTTACAAGTTGGCTGGAATCTGTTACTTGGGAAGCAGAAAACACAGTCCTGTCAGTTTATTAATGGATAGGCTCAAAATGCCAACTGTTAACTCATTGCAGAGACCAAGATATCTGTTTGCTCTCACATGTGTGTAAATAAATAATCAATAAATCATACCTAATATGGACATTGGTCTACAGACAGCTATTACCCATGCATATGCTTTACATTTGGCTAGACATCACTGGATGATTCTTAAATCTGAAACCACACACTCCATTAGGCAGATGTTACTAATTATCAGAGGGGGTGGGAACACTCATAGGCTCCTGAACCACATTACACAGGAACTGATTCCCAACAACAGAAATAATACACAGGTGGCCCACCCATTACTCCTGCTTCATGCATTTTACTTACCAAGCACAGAATAAGTATGTACTGCTCTTAAAATGGATCATAGTTGAGGTCCCTTGTCAATTAGCTCACTGAGGTCTCTACATCAATTCCAAGGGAGCTGATTCCCTCATCTGGAATCTGAAGGCACCTGCACTCAAGGGCATACACAGAGAGGTAAATAAGATTTAATCATTTGTCTTCATTGTCTGTTTCACTGTTATTTGGAATTACCTAAGACACATACACACCTCTAGGCATGTCTGTGAAGCCATTTCCAGTGAAACTGAGGATAGAAGACTTATCCTCATGTACATGGCACCATTCTAGGGGTTTGGGGTCCGAAAATTACTAGGAAGCATGGGGCTGAGAAAATGGTTCAGTTGGTAAAAAATCTTGCTGTTCTAGCATGAGGATATGAGTTCAAATCCATTATACCCACACAATATATGAGAAATGACTGTACATATTTGTAATCTCTGTGTTGGCAGGCAGAGATCAGCAGATAGTAAGAGCTTGCTGACCAGAAAGCATAGTTGGAACAGTGGGTTTCTAGTTCAATGAGAAGTCTATCTAAAAGGAAAAATGAAGGCTCAGACTCATAAAGGCAGGTATTACCACTGGCTTATATACAGTCTCATACACCCATTCACTAAGTATACCCTCATATATGCATGTACCACATACAGACGCTGAAGATAAAAATGAAGAA